AAAAAAACAAGTAGCAAAACTATAAGGAACGAATTTTTCAATCACAACAAACCAATTCCATTTTCGTCTGACAAGAATTTCCTCAATATAAAGTCACATCTCGATGTAAGTGTCACAACTGCAATTTTGCTAACTTCAGATCTGCCCAAACTCCAATCACTTGTTTCTAAGCTGCAGGTAAAGACTTTTTTCTGTGAGATAAATAACGGAAAAAAAAAAAAAAAAAAAAAAANAAAATCATTCACGTGTAATATAAAAATTTCAAAATTACCTGCTCAAAGAAAATAGCTTCTTCAAGCATGTCAAAGAAAATCTGCTGCAGTGAGAAGGCATAAGCTCGACGGTTTCGAGAGGCAAAGAACAAGTACGTGACGCGCAACGATCGAGGGTGGAAATTAGTCTTTGTAGAATCTGTGAATACAGTTCCTTGTTAATTATATAAAATAGTATTTGTATTAATCGAGGAGTAAAAATGGTTGAAAATTATTACATCAAGAGGTATATCAGTATCTGATCCAAGAATATTATCTCCCAGAATGTCTAAAATGTTCATCTCAAGAGACTCATCGATCTCCGAGACTTTATTGGAAGGTAGCGCACGGCCACAGTGCCCCACTAAAAATAATTCGTACACATCAGCCACTTCCTTCCAGACATGTACTCTTTGCTGTCTAGTGATAGAATTATCTATGCAGCTTTCTGGTTTAAGTTTTTTAACATCGGTAATAAGTAAACGGTGAAAGCCCTCGACAGCTATTCTCCAAAGTGTTCCGTCAGGATCATCCCTTCTTGTTGTCATACACCTACAAAGACCAATTAAATGTGAAAGAGAAGACCCGACTAATGGTTGACCACATCAGGAAAAACGTTTGTGTATTGTTGAAAAAAGGAAGCACAATTGTATTTGAATTCGAAAAGTAGAAGTACATTGGCTCAATGCATTTTAAGAACTGGTCATTGTTTAAATTGCTTTCGAGTAAATTTTAGTTGCATTTACTATCGTTGTAATCTGCTGTGTGTGCGTGTCAAGGAAGTATATCAGAAATATTATGCGTCTTTCATTTCCTTGCATCTCCTTTTTCATAATTTATAAGAGGACATTTCCTAATGACCATTGCAACCCATAACGAAAAGGTCCTTAGAATTTGTTGGTAATGTGCGAGACAGAAACTTATTAACCAAAAAAATAAATAAATAAATAAAAAGAAAAAAGTCCAATGAGACCCTTGTTCCACAAACATTAGTCTACACAGAAAATGACTAATCGTTCACCTAAATGTTACATTTATCAGCAAAAATCAATATCCTAACTGAAATTCTGGAAAATAGCCAAGACACAATAATATGACAAAATTACAGGAAATTATGTATGCTGCTATGCATAACTAGATCGGTTAAGGAAAAAAAAAAAATCTAGATCAGTTAAGAATTTAACCTCCTACTCATTCTGAATAAGAAAAAAAAAGCCTAGATCAGTTAAGAGAGTATCCTCACCTTCCCAGACTTTGAATTAAATTTGGGAAAACATCATATTTTTCTTTAACTGGAGCCAGCAAAAAGAGATCAACAAGCACAGGCACAAGTTTCTCAGCAAACAGTGTATATTTGTTGTTCAGAGTAAACCCTTCTCCTTCCTTTTGTGTCATTGAAGAAGACCCATTTGTCATATCACCTATGGCATAAAATACATATCAGACTTTAAAAACTCTTTTATGCTGGATCATAATAGCCGGAATTACCAGAAAAAAAATGACTGCCATTGCCAACTGGTTCATAACGATCCTTGTTCTCATCTAACAAGGGATCAACTGCTGGAAGATAATGCAACAATTTCATGAGGAGCAAAATCCACATTGAACTAAGGTTTGCTGCTGGACGTAGTGAAGGTAAGATTTCCAATACGGTCCTTTGCACAGGTGGCACATGACCCTGTCAAAACAAAACACCTTATTTTAAAAGAACATTTATATCAATATTTCATGTGCATCACTCAAATTATCCAAGTTAGATAACTTTGCTGTGTAAAAGCTATATTAATTAACGGATTCCCTGGAGGGAAATGAAAATGGAAGGTATGGAGCAAGTTGTCTTCAAAATATTATAATTACATAATCTGCTTCGAAGTTGTTATTGGAGATCTTGGATTCTTTAATTGTAGAATCTATGACAAATATCAACTGCTTATACATGTCGTTGTCGAACATCCCTTGAGCTTGGAAATATAGTTCACCTGTGGAAAAAGGGGAAAGCAAAAGTGGAAGAATGGTCATGCAATATAACTGGCAATATAATGATTGTCAGATGCTAATTAAATTGTGAACTGTGGTATCACTCATTCTCCAATGTCTGTTTGGATGTTTGAAGGAATTAAAAACCAGATGAGATAATGATACATTACCAAGACCATGTAAAATCTCCTGCTGCACCTTTTCTGAGACATGATAAGTATTATTTGGAGATTTCAGAAGAACATCCTCATAAATATCGAGTACGGACCTAATGTAAGTTAAAGGAAGATTTCCCTGCGTGAAAAATATATATGAGGTTAAAGAAGACAATGTATACAGTTGTAGAAGCAATAAGCTGATAACCATTACTTGACTTTAATAAGATAAATTATTTCCATTTCCACTGATGAAAGAAAACAAGAAATAATTAATAAAAGAAAATACAACTAATTCTGTACATTACCTTTGGAGAATGAGAAACTATGGTGGACTGCAAGCAATTTATTGCTGCAAGAGCAATTTCTTTACTACCATTTAGAATGCTATTTTTTATGAAGACAAGCAAAGACTCCCAACCTACAATGTCAAATAAATATATTGTTGATATTTAAATTATACAGTTTGGAGGAGTGTGAAAGAAAAAAAATTAAAACGCACCTGACTCGAAATTTCTTAAACTTCTAAGAAACGGGAAAAATGATCGGAAAATACGGGCAATGCCTCCGAGCACGAGTGCAAGTGTCTCATCCCATTGCTTTTGAGCTGTATTTCGACTGCCAATCATTCATTTAGACAGAGGATTGTATCATTTTGTAATTTAATGGGAAAATGAAACACCTCGAAATAAGGTAGACATCCTTAGTAGTACCTGTGATGTATAAGCATATGAACTGCTTTTCCTTTGCGGGTTCCAAGTTCTTTACCCTGCCATTCGTCTTTAGACGATGTTGCAGCCTAGAAGCAGAAATCTTTCTCAATCACCAAAATGAATATGGAAACTAGTAAATGTACATAATTTGTATATAATTTCAAGAGACTTTAAGATAGCAAGACTACCAAGTGAGATGCATGATCCAATGAAGGGAAAATATAATTCCCAAGGCAATCCTCCCACATGCTTTTAGAAAACTTCTGTCCATGACTTCCCAGAGATTGGAATAGCATTCTAATGGCGGAGTTCCTAACCTAAAGACAGTTTCAGTTGCAGCTGAAAGACATAAGCCATCTAAACTAAAATAATTAAGCAACAAAATTTCAAAACTAAGACAACCTAATTAAGTAGCAACACAACTATACTATGATGAAAGCTACTCTCTTAATCCAAACAGTAGCTATACATTTAGCAGATATAAGCACGTCTCATTGACAAAATTACCATAAATTCATAAGAATGCAGTCGGGAAAGAAAAAAATGACTGTTAAGGCAAGAAACACATCTTAGGATTTCACTTTCATTATTGTCAAGTAAACAAATCCCAAGGATGAAAGAGACTCTAGCAATTGGACAAAGTATACTTTTGATATGCATATAGGTTTTTAATGCCACTGAAAGGGTATGTATCAGAAGAGTATGAAAATTGGCTTCTACTAAAATCTGGATTACCTCTGGTCTTTCATCAGCTCCCAGCTTATGGAGTGAAGAGAAAACTGAAAATAGCAACTTGTCACGTTCGGCAATATCCGAATAGTTTGAGGTATGAACAAGTTTATCATGAGAATCAGGAGCTGGCTCTTCCTGCTGGTTATAATTCGTTGGATCTGAAACCCAAAACGAGCCAACATGATCTCTGAAAAACTAAGATATACAATTCAAACCTCCAAATCCTCAAATAGATGATGAACCTGTTTCAAATTCTTCCTTAGTCCAATTCTTAAGTCCTTTCACAATGAAGTCTGTGGCGGTCCACAGCAGGCCTATAGCTGTCAGACTTATATTCAAGTCAGTCTTCTGTGTACTGTATGCCCCAACTACATCAATACACCTGCAAATTAAGATTGAAATAGTGCATGAGGAAAACAAAAACAGATATCACGTGAAGAAAAGTATCATGCTATGACTCAAGATAAATGTGAGCCTTATGGTCTAAAGTCGTAACACTAACTTCAAGAACTAAAGAACTGTCATGTCACAAAGAGAGAATTAATTGATTATAATCTAGCAGCAATGCATAGAGCTTCCAACCCAGTAAATCATTAAAAGACCATGCATATAAAAGTCAAAATTCACTTCACCAGAAGAAGATATTTTTAACAAGTTGGTACTTAAAATCTATTCCATATTCTCTAGCTTTAGTGGGACTGTTTAGATAGTCAGTAAAGTATCCATAGCATAGTGGGCATAGCCCAAAACTTATATGTTGTATATAAATAATACAAATACATGATGTCAACATCTAATACACATCAAATACATGATGCCAACATCTAATACGCATCAAATAAATCTCTAGCGTAGTGACCTTAGTCCAACCCATAATCATTCAAACACTTGAATAACTACGTTTTGGCCTTATCAAAACTACTACTTACGCAGAATTTCAGGAAATATGTTAATTAACTAGTTAAAACTTAAAGGCATGTGTGACGATTTACTTCTTATTGAGAAATATACTCATATTATGTTCGAAAGAATATTTTATGGAGGATAAGAGATCCTAATACACACTAGGGATTCCTAAATAGTATGCTCCAATAGGCCTTTCATATTTAGCATCTAATATCAATGGTCATAACTCTATTCTACTCGCCTATTAAGGTTTGAAGAGTTGAAACATGAAAAATGTTGATCTTTCATATGGAAACTCAGCAAAAAGAAGCTACAAATATTGTCAAAGCCATCAAATGATAGTTCTAGGTCAACCATCTCTATCATGAAACTTGCAAGAAACATTAGCCCGTTGGCATAATCTTAATGAACTTCAGCAACACATAATGTGTTTCTTCTATATCCAATTGAATTTGAGATTTAACATAATTTAACATTTTGGTTATCTTGAAATCTTCATCAATTTTTTCACTTCTTCTTATGAGAATGCAAGTACAATTAATCAATAAACTAACA